AACACCCAGAGAGGGGAAGACACCCAGCTCAGGTCACACAGGAGCAGCAGCCAACAAGCCAACGCAGGCCAGGGCTCCTGCTTTCCAGCCAGTTCACCCTCAACACCTCCCCAGTTTCCAGGCCCTGCTGGCCTGCCCTCTGACCCTGGCCCCCTGGGAGCTGATCCCAGGCCCGTGGGGTCTGCAAGTCTGTTCTGGATTAGATACGCTGAGAAGCAAATGCTGCCCACCCCCCCCAGCAGGCTGCTGGGCAGGACCCGTGCACACAGCTGCTGAGGCTCACAGGGACATAAATCATGGTGGCAGGAGGCTTGGGGACTGGGACCACCCTAGCCTCCCAAAGGGCGCGGGGGCCTGGGAGTCATGGACAGGGACGCCTGAGTCCACCAGGGTTTTCTCTATCCTCAGTTGGAGCAGCTGAAGTGAGGACGAGTCAGAGGGGGCCAGGAGACCATCTGGCAGGCCTTATATCCTCACGGGCCAAAGTCTCGACTTTGTTCTAACTTTTCATTCTGCAATTGTTTCCAAACATCCAGAGAAGTAAAAAGTGGTGCAGAGAACTCCAATATGCCCTTTACCTGGATTCCCCAAGTTTGAGCCGTTAGCCACATCGGCAGGATCCTTCTCTTGCCCACATGTGTTTTTCCAGCGTAGGACTCCTCTACCCCTCCGTGATACCCAGGGACGTATTTCTTAAGCACAAGGATATCCTCTTACATAACCATACTGTTAGCAAATTCGGAAAATGGAACGTTGCTCCAGTACTTTTATCCAATCTATTGTTCTTATTCTGACTTTGTCATCTGTCTTCTCTAGCATATCCCCCACTCCCCTGCTGTACCAGGGGGGTTGCAGACCCAGTTCAGGGTCACGTCCTGCGTTTTGTTTTCTGGGTCTCAACTCTGGATACCATATCCACATGAGGTAAAACACACAGCAGAAGGAGATGCAGACATTCAACTTAACATGTATGTCCTGTAAATTGATAGTTTTGTAAATCTTCAATTTATATTTTTTTAAAAAGGTCTTATTTGAGAGAGCAAGAAAGAGAGGGTATGAGCAGGGGGAGAGGCAGAGGGAGAAGCAGACTCCCCACTGAGCAGGGAGCTTGATGTGGGACTTGATCCTAGGATCTGGGGACCAAGACCTGAGCCGAAGGCAGACGCTTCACCAAGTGCCCCTGTAAATCCTCTATTTGATATTCTCATGATAATGCCTTGTATTTGTGACCGTGTGTGGATGCTTAAGAGTTAACCTGCTAAATCTACCACACATTTTTGGAATTTTGTTTTTGGTGTTTTTTAATCTAACAGGAGCCTCATAAAATGGAGGACCAATAAAATGGAAGACCAGTGAGGGGAGTTTAGGCAGTAGAGGAGCCCTGCCTGGAGGAAGGGGTGCTGCCTTCTCAGTCCTGCTTAGATCCCCAAACTGCACAACGGTGGCCCACTGGTGTTCTTCTCTGGGCTTTGGCATCCCTCATTGCCACGGGCAACCTCTGAGGTCTTCCACCTGCGGTTCTGAAATTTGGGAAGAGAGCCCTGTGGGTCATGGGGGCTACCCGGGTTCCTAGGGACCCAGGAGGGCCAGGGACTCACTGGGAGACCCGAGGGAGGCTGCTTCTTCTGGATTGACTCAGTCTCCTCATTGTGAAATGGGGGCCTCGGAGACCATTTTCGGGTCGGTGTTCCTAGTGTCTAAGAAGTTTTGGGTAGAGAGTGCAACCAGAAATCTAAGCCTCCCCTTTAGGGTCTCAGGTGGCCTGGCTGGACCGAGGCTCAGGGGTGCCTGTAAACGGCACAGTGCATGAGATGGCGAACTGTGCAGCCGTGACCAAGTCTGAAGGGGCTTTCTTTTTTGGTGCGAAACAGTGTGAGTGCAAGGCCGCCGCTCATGTGGAAAAACAATGTCTGTGTGGCTTGCCTATAGAGGCAAAGCCTGTTCCTGCAGGAATCCCTGAGACCCTGATGAAGATAATTGCCTCCCAGAATAGGAACTCAGTGGCTGGGCAGGAGGGAGACGTGTGGCTGCTTTATTCTCTTTAGTATCTCTTGAGCCGCGGGCTCTGTAAGTGTATCCATTTTACAGGAAATACAATGGGAAGAACCTGGTGTGAACAGAAGTGCAAGAGTGGCTCCTGGATGCTCTCACAGCCACTTTCTGGTCTGCACACGGGGTACACGAGTGTGTGCAGCTGGTGAAAACTTACTGAGCTGCGCACTTGCACGTGAGTTGTACTTCATGGGAAAGCTGTAACCGAGTACGCTGTAAATGCTTGTTTCAGTGTCCGTTTTACAAAAACTCTGGATGACAGCGCTAACTGCGGTGATCTTTGGGATGGGTGCCATTTCTACGGTCTTGCAGCACTGAAATGTTTTATAGTGAAAACAGAAGCAGAGAAACCGATGGCTGCTTTTTCAGAACCAGAGATCAGGAGAGAGCACTTTTGGAAGGACACACAGGAAAGGGCTTCCAGCCACTGACTTTGGGGAGGAGCCAGAGGGAGGTATGGGATTACTTACCCCATGCAGAAATGATCTATTAAAAACTATTTAATAAGGCAAAACAAATGCTTATCATTCTGTCCCAGCTATTCTTGCTGGTGACGGACTGGCCTGGGGAGGCCTGGGATGGAGGTCATGCGATTTCTCTGGGGTCACCCAGCAAATCTGGTGGCAGAAGTGGGCCTCCAGCCCCCAGCACCCAAGTGTCTGCTCTGTCCCCGCTCCCGGGTTTCCTGCCATTGACAAGTCACAGTCCTTTCCTATGGCTTTGCCAGGGGCTGCCTGGCCCTGGGCAGACACAGGGAGCACAATGTGCTTTCCTAATTAGCTCCCCCAGGGGGAAGCATGACTACCCTGGGACAGGATAGGCAAGCCCCATGTCCCTGGAACACACGGGACATGGGGTAGAGGGTGTGTGGAAAGATCTCCCGGGCTGGACCTCAGCCCCTTGGGGCCCTCCTTCCTCTACTTCTCACCAAAGAGGTTAAATGTGGTGGTTTCATGGCCACTCCAACCTGGACTGACCCCCTTGTTCTCCCGGGGCCTCGGTTTTCGTCTGTGAGGCAGACAGGGGTGGGTCTGGCTCTCTGCTATGGGGTCTGGCATGGAGACCGTGCTCAGTATCTGTTAGTCTGCGAAACGGGCAGCCCCACCTCGGGCTCAGTCAAAAGGTCAAACGCAGAGCAGAGTGGATACAAGCATGGACTCTGGCCAGGCGTCTATCAGTAAACACTAATTAAAAGTGTTTGTTAGGGACGCCTGGGTGGCTCAGTTGGTTAAGCCGCTGCCTTCGGCTCAGGTCATGATCCCAGCGTCCTGGGATCAAGTCCCGCATCGGGCTCCTTGTTCTGTGGGGAGCCTGCTTCTCCCTCTGCCTCTGCCTGCCACTCTGTCTGCCTGTGCTCGTTCTCTCTCCCTCTCTCTCTCTGACAAATAAATAAATAAAATCTTAAAAAAAAAAAAATAAAAGTGTTTGTTAAATTCGTTTTTCAAATAGGCATGAGTGTACCCAGAGGCAAGGGTGGCTGCCCGGCTTGGCCACCTTTCCTTCCCTCCAGCCTCCTGAGCCTCTCTGATTCTGGCCTCGCAGGGACTGTTCCAGCCAGAGAGCCAAGGGCACTTGGCTGTACCGCCCAGCTGTCCCCATCACCATCGTGGCTGAATCTGCGAGATTGGGGAAACACCAGCCCTCACCTTGCAGGCCTGCTGGAGAAGCATCGGGGCCCTGGGGGGGCTGGCACTCCAGTGGGGCATCTCCAGGGCCAGGGAAGTCTTTAGGGGTGGACAGATCTCACCTCATCCTGCCATATGCCTTGGGGGGTCACACTGCTCCTCCAAATCATCTCAGCTAAAACAGGGGTAAGAACATCCCATTAGTGCATTCACTTGCATGTGGGGGAGCTGCGTGCCTACACAGCCTGTCTGCAAAAACACGGACAAGGGAGAGGTTACAGTATAGAACATTCATCAGGTGGAACACACAGTTATTAAACGGACGAGGCCACCCTTTACCTTTGCGTGCTGACTTGGGATGACAGCTGACCTAGGTCAGGGAGAGCCGTGCAAGGGGCAGAAAGCACGGACAACACACTATTGTTTGTGTAAAGGGTGGGAGAAAGTTAACATATACATATATTTCTGTTCTTGCTTGGCTATTCATAGGGAATGGGACAAGATCTAGGAATGGGACCGATCACAAAATGTGGTGGCTAAGGCTGCCTGAAGGGAGAGCTGGTGGCTGGAGGGCACAAGGAAGGGAAGCTTCCCTGTATTTCCTCTCGTACCTCTTGAAGTCTGAACCATGCAGATCAATAGATTCCTTACTCAAAAATAAATCAGATTAAGATTTCTTGACCAACCGCCACAGACAGCTAAGGGCTGTTCAAGGAGACTAAGAAGTCTGGTTATCTTGTCTTCTGGAGACGGTCCTCCTGCACCCCCCCAGCCCCCCGCTCCCCAGCCCCACCCCCTTCAGGGCTGAGGGCAGCACCTGTGACATCTGGGCCTCTGCCAAGTCTAGGAGGGGCCGCCTCTAACCTCTGATGTCCCTAGTCCTCACCCAACCCCCCATCGCCATTCTTCAGCTGGGAACATCTTTTATTTAAAAATACTTTTTTATTTTAAACCCACCAATTCTCTCTCTTATACACACACACACACACACACACACACATACACACACACATCCCCACACTCATTCACAGATATGCACACATCCTCTGTCACCAACAGTCTTTGTTTTTCCAAAAGTTCAGCCTTGTCTCTGACCGGCCAGGGCTGGGGCTGGCTGGCTGGGTCCTCATAGCTCTCTGGGGTGCAGTGGAGATGTCCCAGGGAGCCTGCCCACAGGGTCATGGGCCCAGACCATTGTCCCCTGGTCCCAACACGAAAGAGGTTTGCGTTGGGCTCCTGGGGTCTTCTCCCCTGTTTAACCAGTGGCTGGCCTCTGGCCTTCTTCAGGGTCCTGCTTGGAACAAATGCCACAGGGGACTAGGCTCATCTCCGCGGCACTCGGAGGGGGGCCACCCCCCTCACCTTCAAGCAGCTGCCCCCCAGGTCACGACGGCCGCCCTGCAAGAGGAAAGAAAGAGAAAGTTTGGTCAGGTCACCGTGAACACTGGAACTAACCTCTGTATCCAGCAATAGGGGACTTGATAAATAAATCACAGCCGCACGATGAAGTTCTCCACAGCAGAACGCCAAAAGGAGTCTTTGTGACTGATAGGGAATGATGGAGAGATAACTGCATTTAAGGACAAAGGCAAGAACTGAGTGAATGTTCCTATGTGCTGAGATGTCTGGAGAGAAGGGCACATGGGAAATTGCTAACAGGTTTCCTCAGAGGACAGGGATTTCATGGGGGACGAGGCATGACGGGTGGGAAGGAGATTTTCTCTCTTTCGTTCTTTCTTTTTAATGCTATGTACTTTTTTACCCTTTTTGTTTCTTGTAATTTCATTTTATGTACTTTGTTGTTTTTTTTTAACCCAATACATTTAAAATAATATTAAACGGTAAAACAAATGAACCCCACAGTGGTCCTCCTAACTGCCTGATTGTATGCGCAGTGGCTTACTCATCAACCTTCAAAAGTAGACTGTGGATTTCTAGCCTCCTTGCCTTCATTCAGGTCGTTCTCTCTTCCAGGAATACGCACTCTGGTCCTGTCTCCCTGGGAAGGTTTCTCTATTTCTGCCATTACCCAGCACTTCCGGGGACATTTCACTGGGAGAAACTTGGAAGGGGAAGACAGAGTTTCTTTTTGTTCCCCACTCAGGCTGGGAGCTGAGGGAGGAGTAGGGGAAACGTCCTCACTCCAAAATCCTGGTTGCAGCCCTGAGCCCGACATGAGTGGGTGCCAACTATTGCCCCTTGAATCCGTGCTGCTCACTGGGAGATGAGCTCATGGTGGCACCCCTGAAGCCACCTGTCCCTCAGCCCGTAGGGACCATCCCTATCTGGTGGTCTGAGGTCTGACGTGGGGCTATTGTCCTCGCTGTAAGTCAGCGAGGTCCCAGACATTAGAGCACTCCTCTGTTGAGGCCTCTAGCCACTTAAGGCCAAGCCCAGAGGCACCCAGCCAGTTGGTTAAAAAAAAGCTGGGCCAGAAATCCGTGTTGTCCAGCAGTTCTGCCTCCAGGACCTGCTGGTGTCTGAAATCCCACTGTCAATGCTCACCCCACCGAGCCTGGCTAGGAGATGGGGGGACAGGCCTCCTTCTCAGTCATCTAGAGAAATAGCCAACCATCTGAGAGCTCTGCCCCCTGCCCCCTCCGTCCTGGGCCCAGGTTGGGGCAGATCCATCCAGATGTGAGCCCAGCCTCCCTCGAGGCTCTCTGGGCCCAGGGACAACGTGTTCATTCACAGGCAGGGCTATTTTGAGGGCTGAGGCCACAGTCCCAGCAGAGCCCGGGGCTTAGGCTTCTCAGACAAATCTGGCAGGAGTGGCTGAGAAGGGGGGACAGGCGTGGGGGGTAGGGGGTGTAGTGTTGGGGGATTAAAAAACCCGCCTCCCATTCTTTCATGATGACCTCAGGGACAGGGGGAGCCATCTCTCAGCCAAGTCTGGCAGTCACCAGGAGACCCCAGTCTCATGCTAACGCTGGGACTGTTCACCTCCCTGAGATTGTGTCCTCATCTACAAAATGGGGTCAAAATGATTCTGCTGCCATCCCAGGGTGCAGGCTGTTGCAGACGCGGCTGTGAAAGAGGCTTGCAGATAGCCAAAAGCACTTAGAAGGGACCCTGACCAGGACCCCACTTCTCTGTCCCCGAGGAAGTCAGTGCCCAAGGCTCTGGGAAGCTGAGTCGGGCTTGAGTGAAATGGATCCAGGCTTCGATCCCTGCTCTGCCATGGACTACCCATCGGACTCAGGCAGGACTCAGACTTCACCGCACTGAGCCTGTCTCCCCGTGTGTAAAGCAAAGTCACGGTGAGGATCGTACGCGTTCAGCTAGTTAAAGCCCTTAGTACCGCGTCAGACACACAGATAAAGCGTTCAAGTAGATATTCACAAGTATCATTATCAGCATCAGCCAGTGAGGGTTCCTCCTTGCCTCCCCCCCACCCTCTGTGCCCCTCTCTGTGCCTGAGCTGTGTACGCCAGCTGGGTGGGGGGGGTGCTTTCCAAGATGATCCTACCCACCCCCAACTCCGGGTGACAAAGGGGGAACAGTAGAGACAAGAACCCTCCCTCCGTCTCCCACTTGCTATTTCTAAAGGACCACACTTGACCCCTCCTTAGACAGAAAGATCCTACAGAGAGCCTGGTGGTCCCTTGTGACCCCATCCTCAGATTAGCTATGTGGGAGGGAGGGGGTGGCTCAGAGTTAAGCAGCAGAGTCTGGGCCTTGGAGCTCTCTGGCCCCCTGAGCTCGGAAGGGGGACCCTGCAGTAGCTCCACGAAGAGTCCGTTTTCTTTCAGTTGAGCCTTCGAGGGGCCAGAGCTGGCCAGGATCACCCCTCTCGCCTACTCCCAGAGGAGCCTGTGGGGGAAAGCATGGCTTCTGCAGCCAAATTTGGCTAGGTTCTTGGTCCTGTAGACAGATCGCAGGGAAACAGCCAGACCCAGGCGAATAAATCCCTGTGATCCACAGGACAGGCTGAACCCAGCAGAGAAGGCCCCCACCCTGCCCCGATGTGGGTGTGGGTGCGTGGCAGATGTGCCTTCTCTGCCAGGCCTGCGGTTATAACTCGCCAGCCCCCTGCCCTCCCTCCCCAATAACCTTTCCCACTTCCCAATCAGGCAGGCTTGAGTTCAAACCCTCACTCCATCATGGACAGCGTCTCTAAGCAGGTGGGGGCCACCAGAACACCTCTGCCCCTAAGGGGTTTTAACCAGAATGGGTAATGAGTGCTTAGCCCAGGAAATCAGTGCCCATCACGACTGCCTCCCGTCTGTACTCTGCCACCTTCAACCTCTTTCCCCTTCCTTCTCTATATCATGTTTTCTGACGCCAACTCTTGGGGTGCCCTGCTCCTAGAACACCTTTCCCTATCCACTCATCTGCCGGCCTCTGTTCCCAAGCATGTGTCAGGAATTCAGCCCCTGGCTGGGGGCTTCCTCTGGGCTCCCATGGTCTCTTGGTGCTCTGCCTTCCCACCAGGAGACTGTGGTCTCCCTGTCTTCATCCCCATTCCCTTGCCCTGGCACTGGGAGTTCATGACTGTGTGGGTGGGGCCCCACGACCTGCTTCTCTGGGAAGGTTCTCAGAGCCAACAAAAGGCAGCTATTGGGTAGATAAGGTTGGCTGAACTGAAGGAACAGGTGAAGGGCAGTCCGAGGGTTATCATCAAGGGCCCAGCCAGCCCTCAGCATCCCAGGCCAGATACATGAAGGCCCACCTGGCTTTCCCACCCCACCTGGAACACCAGCCGGGGCCCACAGCTGAGAGTTGGCAGGGTACAAGTCAGGCAGAGCCTGAGACGACTGACTCAGGGAATCTGAAGCAGCCATGGGGGTGAGAGGCCAGGCTGGGAGTCTGATGAGTCAGAAGAAGACAGTCTGGGGCCAGGACACATGGGCTTCCCCGGGACAGAGTGAAGCAGGGGGCCTAGAGCAGCTATAAGAACCAAAGAGTGGGGGACTCAGAGACTGACTCTAATCCTCCGTGCCCTTTCACTTTCCAAAAGGCTGTGGGCCAGTCAGGGGCTCCCCCAGTCTCACTACCTCCATATGTAAATGATAGCTGCTGGAATCCAAAGCTATCACACACACCAGCTTCCCTACTGTAGGAGAAGGCTAGGACAAGAGAGGGAAAGGTGGGGGATGAAGCAGGCTCCTTGGGGCCTAAGCAGGAGGAGAACCCGCTTCCAACCAGGAGAGCCCCCTTTCAACCTCTGCAGTTACTCAGCCCCCTCCGCTCCCTATCAGGCTGGTTCTCATCCTTATGTGGGGGGACACACCACAGGAGCTCAGCTCCAGCTTCATCCAGCTGACTCAACGGTGACCTCGCCCCCACGCTCTATCCCTTTTGTGGAGACCCCCTTCTTCACTCCTACTGCTCATTAGCTGGCCACCTCAGATTTTTAGTCTGAGATACGTGTCTCCTCTTCTCAGTCTCCTGCCTTTGGGTCAAGTCTTAGGATGGCGGACAATTATTTTACTGGTGGGGGTAGTTCATGGCAAACGTGGACCAGCAAGCAACAGAACTTGCGTTGTGGCTTCCCAGGTGACCAAATGTGGGCATGCGATCACACCCCCCTGAGCCTCAGATCCTCATCTGTGATAAAATGGGCAGAATAACTACCTGCCTGGGAGTTCTTGTGAGGGTCAAAGAGGAGGAGGAACGCACCTCGCACCTGGGAAGCGCTTAATAAAATGATGGCCTTTCTAACTACTTCTCACGCTCTTTCCCCAGCACACCTTCAGTTAAAGGGGTGTCCTTCAAGGAGCCATCTCCGTTTTCTGGGCTTTCCTGCACCACCTCTGTTTGGGGGACTTTGAGCGAGTGGTTCTGTTACACATCAAACCCTGCGCTTGGAGCGCCGCAGCCCCCGACAAACTTCCTGTCGCTTCCCCCTCTCTTCATAGGGGTCTCCGTTCCTCTTCTGCTTCCCCAGGAGGCCCCGTCCCCCGCTAACCCCCGACCCGCGACTATAGTCCTGGGGTTCCGCGCACTCACCCCTTTGCGCTGGTTGCTGAGGCAGAAGGTGCAGATGGAGCGCGGCTGGCGGCCGCCGTCGGGGGCGGCGGGGACCGCGCTCTTGGCACTGCCGGCCGCACGGAAGCAGGGCTGCCCGTCGTCGGCCGCGTCGCCCAGCAGCAGCACGTTGGCCAGGTGCGCGATGTAGCTGGACGCCAGGCGTAGCGTCTCGATCTTGGACAGCTTGCGGTCCACCGGCTCGGTGGGGATGAGCGTGCGCAGCGCCGTGAAGGCCGTGTTCACGCTCTGCGTGCGGTCCCGCTCCCGCGCGTTGGCCGCCTGCCGCTGTCGCACCACCACCACGGGACCCGCGCCGCCACCGCCGCCGCCGCCGCCGCCGCCGCCACTCGCCCGCCGCCCGCCCCCGGGGCCCGGGCCGCGCCGCGCCGCCTCCAGGCCCTCGCAGCAGCCAAACGACTGGTCGGACGCGTCGCTCTCGCTGCGGTTCTCCTCGTCCTCGCTCAGCAGCCGCACGTCCGGATACAGCACGTGCGCGCCGACGGGGCGCAGCAGCGCGAACGCCATGGGCGCCGGGCAGTGTCTCTCCGTGCGCCGCGTCCCAGCGTCTGCCGCGCCCCGCCGTGCGCTCCCGCGCGCTCCCACGGCCCAGCCGGCCGCCGCCTTATAGCTGGGGAGGGGCCAATCACGAGGCCGCCCCGGCGGGGGCGGAGGCCGCCGCCCTGGCCAATGGGGAGGCGCCCTTCGCGTCCCGGCCAATGGCGAAGCGCCCACCGCCCCCGTTCCCCAGGTTGAAAGCAGCCCGGGAGCTAAGCCGCCCGCCCTGAAGGCTCCAGGCAGCGCAGGCGAGCGGGGCAAGTGTCTGGGGAGTTTGGGGGGGGCGGGGGGTTCTGGGTGGCTGGGATGGGGTGTGCCCAGGTCTGGACTCTCTATCTTCGGTCTAGACCCGCAGGGAGACTCTCAAGGCTTGTTTCCTCGTTCGGTAAGAGGGTTGCAGAGAAACCACCTCGGGGTTTTCCCGCCCCCACGTTCTGATACTGTGGTTCTGCAGCTTTCTTGTGTGTAAGAATTGGGGAAGGGGGCTGTTGGCATGACAGATTCCCGGGTTCCTCCCGTTCTGATTCAGCAGGTTTGGAACGGGACCCAGGAATCTGCATTAGGATGGTGTCCATGGAGAGCACTTAAGAGAAACACTAATCTTTCCAAATAAGGATTACACAGTGTCACATCCTCAACGGCAAACTTAAAAAAAAAAAAGCGGGGGTGGGGGAGAGGGACAAGAACAGCACACACAAACCAGTACTTCATTCATTCATTTATTCATCCAACAAATATTTCTTGGGTCCCTGCGATGTCAGGAATGGTTTTAGGTCTGCGAATAGAAAATTGACAAACTCTTTGCCCTCATGGAATTGACATTTTGGTTGAGGCCTTACTGTGTGCCAGCCATGTGCTGAGGGCTATACTGATCTTTACTACTCCTTGTTGAAGTTGTGCGGGAGTATCCCCGATTTACAGATCAGAGAGCTCTAGCCTTCAGTCTTACAAGAGGTGAGTGGAGGCTTTAGCCACAGCCTGTTTGACTTCACCATCACCCGTGGCCTACTAACCCTCACCACCAATAAAACACAGATTACCTTCCTGTAATCTCCACAATCCCACCCTGGCTCCAGATCCACACCTCTCTATTTCCTCGGAATGGCACCAGAGAGAGAGAGAGAAAGGTGTGACTGTCTTTCCTCGCTGCCTTCCTTCCTTTCTTCCTTCCTTAGGGAAACCTTAGATTGTTGAGTCTGACATGTTCTCCTTCTTGGGGGCCCTGGGAAGAATTACTAAGCTGTTGATGGCGGCTGGGGTCCCCACACTGTGCCCCCCTCCCAGCTCCATCCTGGGGAATGGTCCAACCTGTATCCCTAGGATTTGAAAATAACTCTCTTCAACCTGAATGCATCTATGTGGTAGAGAGGGCACAGGGAGTGAAGGCAAAGGGTTTCTAGATGTGTTTTCAGCTTGTTTTCCTTTCTGGGCCTCAGGTTTTTTGAAGATGACTCCCAGTTCTGTCACACTCCTTTCCTGGCTTCTCCTACCCAGGGCAGAATGGGGGAAGGGAGCTAGAGGGTTTCCCTTGGCTGTCTGGAGAGCAGCCCCTGATGTCTTCAAGCCCCAGGGTCTGTGGGAATTTCTGTTCCCACACCTGGCTCCCCCACCCCTCCTCATTTGACCGTGACCCCAGCCAGGCTGGGCTTTGGGGAAGAGGAGAAGGAGCCTGCACAGGCCCCCTCCCCACAGGGCTAGTCCCACACGCAGCCCCAGGCCAGGCTGCTGCTTCCTGAGCAGATGAGTTATTACCGGGAGATTTCCTTCCCTGTCGGCGCCTCCTCACAGGGGCTCTGGGCTCCCTTCACTTTCACTTTCTCCCCCTTCTCCCCCTCTCTTCTGCTCTCAGTCCTCAGGCAGCTTGAAATTCCTCTGTCCGGTCCCCTCCCCACTCCAGCTCCAGGTTGGAGAAGCCAAACAGGGCATGAACTGGGCCCGGAAGCTGGGGAGGGCTTACTTGCTAGGCTCATTCATTCACTCGCTCCTCAGGCAGGCTTTGACATTGGGGACCCTGGGAGTAAAATAAAACCATGAATGAGACTGAGTCGGGCCTTTGGAAAGCGAGCTGTAAACAAAGAACTCCAGGACAATGTGATGGGAGCCATAAGCCTGCCTCCTAGAGCCGGGGTCCAGCCCAGGGGTAGCTGCCTCATGGAGTTCGGTTTCCTGCTCAGAAAACTGGGGATAATCATAACCCCTCCCTAGGGCTAGTGATGGTTCCTAGAGTGCATGCCTGTTAAGCCGTGTCCTGGCACCTATCGAGAACTCAACACATAAGAGGCGTTTGTGCTGAATCTCTTAGAATTTGGCTGCAGGTGGAGGAGAGACCCATGGCCAGCAAAGGCTGAGCAGCTTTGACTGTTCCCAGTCCCATCCCTGGGAGTGGGCATGGAGCTCCTTGCCACATTCTTAGCTCACCCACGCGAGGGGCTCAGCTCCTTCCATCCCCTGTCCTCTGTCTCTGCTCCAGCCACACTGCTTCCTCACTGCCTGTGGAGCCCACGTCTGCTGTGCACCCGCCTGGATACCCCCGAGCTTAGTCCCTCACTTTCTTCTGGTCTTCCCTTAAATCTCACCTCCTCGGAGAGGCCTTCCCCCACCACGGCCCCTACCCCCTCATCCCTGCTAGCACCCCCCACAGCTCTCCCTCTCCACTTCATCTTGCTTTCCTTCTTTCCATGCACCTGTTACTGCTTCTCTTCCTTCATCTGCAAATATTAATTGAGCACCTACTATATGCCAGGCACAGTTCTGGGTCTGGGGCATACGGCAGCGAACGTACTACATAATTAGCTGGCTCCCTCCGCTGGAACATAAGCATCATGGGGCAAGGGCACGGTATTTTGCTCATCTCCTCTCCTCTCTATCACAACCTTCCAAGGTAGGCATCGTTATTATTCCCAATTTACAGATGAAGACCCCCAAGGTCCTAAGAGCGGGGAGTGACTTTCTCGATTGAGGTTGCACTGTGGGCCAAGGGGATCTCAGGTTGGTCACACTCTTCCCCAGCCACAGGGCCTCTCTAGCAGCCCAGAGGTGTGGGAGGTCTGAGAAGGAGTCTGTCTGGTAAGAGGAGAGTCTTTTTTTTTTTTTTTAAGATTTTATTTATTTATTTGACAGAGAGATAGAAAGTACAAGTAGGCAGAGAGGTAGGCAGAGGGAGAGGGAGAAGCAGTCTCCCCGATCATCAGGGAGCCCAACGTGGGGCTGGATCCCAGGACCCCAGGATCCCAACCCGGGGTAGCCTCTTAACTGACTGAGGCACCCAGGCACCCCTAGGTGCAGCTTCATGGTGAAGCCCGCTTTGTTGCTTTTCTGCCTTGGTGTAATCTGGCGTGTTGATCACACTGTATTCTGACTTCTCTCCCTTTGTCCCTGATTCTTCACTCTCTTTCCTTCCCCACACAGGACACCCACTCTAATATATTTTTTAAAGACTCCATTTTTTTTTTTTTTAAAGAGCAGTATTAGATTTACAACAGAATTGAGACAGCACAGAGCTTTCCCATATTCCCTTTGCTCCGCCGCAAATAACCTCCCCATTATCAGTGCCACTTGCCAGAGTGGTGCATCTGCGACAATTGATGAACCTGCATTGACCTATCATTATCATCCACAGTCCATAGGTGACTTTGGGATTCATTCCTGCTGTTGTACAGTCTGTGGGTTTGGACAAATGTTTATAATGACATCATTATCTTACCATCATTATGGTCTCATACTGACCATTTTCATTGTCCTAAAAATCCTCTATACCATGCCTGTTCATCTACATCCCATGCCTGCCACTGCTGATCTTTTAATCATCTCTGTAGTTTTGCCTTTTCTAGAATGTCATATAGTTGGGAACATACAGTACATAGCCATGACAGATTGACTTCTTTCTCTTAGAAATATGCATTTAAATTTCCTCCATGTCTTTTTGTGGCTTGAAGATGCATTTTTTAAGCATTGAATAATATTCCATTGTCTGGATGTATCACACTTATTTGGCCATCCACCTTGAAGAAATCTTGGCTGCTTCCAAAGTTTGGCTATTATGAATAAGGCTGCTGTAAGCATTGTGTGCAGGTTTTTGTGCAAACATAAGTTTCCCACTCCTTTGGAGCATGATTGTTGGATTGTATGATTTGTTTTCTTATTGTTGAATTTTAAGAGTTCTTTGTATATGTTGGATAACAGTCCTTAATTGGATGTGTCTTATGCAAATATTTTCTTCCAGTCTGGGGCATGTCTTGTCATTCTCTTGACAATGTATTCCACAGAGAAGAAGCTTTTGATTTTAATGAAGTCCAGCTTCAAAGAACTTTCCAGTTCTTTCTTTGATGGATCTTGTCTTTGGGGTTGGATCTAAAAGTCTTTACCACATACAAGGTCATCTAGGTTTTCTCCTATGCTGTCTTCTAGGTATTTTATAGTCTTGTGTTTTACATTTAGGTCTGTGATCCATTTTGAGTTAAATTTTGTGAAAAGTGTAAGGTCTGTGTCTAGATTCATGTTTTTGCTTATGGATGCCCAGAGTCCAGTTGTTCCAACAACATTTGTTGAAGGGACTATCTTTACTTCATCATATTGCCTTTGATCCTTGTCCAAGGTCAGTTGGCTATAATTATGAGGGTCTATTTCTGGGCTTTCCATTCTGTTCCATTGATCTTTTTGTCGATTATGCTGCCATTATAATGCTGTGTTGATAACTGTAGTTTTTTTTTTAAAGATTTTATTTATTTATTTGACAGAGAGAAATCACAAGTAGACGGAGAGGCAGGCAGAGAGAGAGAGAGAGGAAAGCAGGCTCCCAGCTGAGCAGAGAGCCCAGTGCGGGACTCGATCCCAGGACCCTGAGATCATGACCTGAGCCGAAGGCAGCGGCTTAACCCACTGAGCCACCCAGGTGCCCCTAACTGTAGTTTTCTCGTAAGTCTTGAAGTTGGGTAGGATCAATCTCCAGCTTTGTTCTTCTCCTTCAATAT